TTTTTTTTTTTTTTTTTTTTTTTTTTGGATGACTACTTTTTACTTTAATTTGAGTAAGAAACATGCTCAAGTAATGCTCCTCCTGTTAGAGTAAAATAACTCTACCCGCCTTTTGTTCTGTGCATTAAAACGACTTATTTCCTTTGGAATACACTTGTGTTTTATTCTGCACCTTTCAGAATAAAACATTTTTGCATATATTGTCATAGAAATACTAAACTATTTTCATATAGACAAGTAAAAACAAGCTAAGTGTTATTTAAACTATTTAAGTTGCTACAACTAAAACATAAATAAGCTTTAAATAACCTTTCATATTAACTATATGAACTACAGAAAACTTTTATTGTGAAATCAGGAATTCCGTGTATTCCGGTTTCTGACCTGGATTTGGGCGGTAACTTGACGCAGTTGCTATGAGACAAATGAAGTTCGTACTCCACAGCTGGCTATGGCGGATGTTGTTGAAAATGACAACATGAAGAATTATCATATAGCGTCAGAGAAAATCGCCCCGGAGATCAGCCGCTTTCCCTACTGCATAGTGTGGACACCCATCCCCGTGCTATCGTGAGTTCCGGTCGTCAGCGTCTGTGTCTGTTTTAACTGAAGGAAACCTCTGCACCTTGTAGGAAAGTGACAGCTTTATTAGCTTAGCCTGCTAACAAATCGGACAACAGCACCATCCTGTTGCTGTTTGTTGCGCTTTATTAATAAAGAAAGTCTCATTACTGCCGCTTTGACTGTTCTTATTGCCATGTGTGAGATAATGGGTCCAGTACATTAATAATTAAACAGTAAATTAGAAGTATGATAAACAGGAAGTGAGCAACATGGAAATCATGGAAATCCGAAAGGCTTTAAGCGTATTTCATGCTACTTTCTGTTCTGGGTTGAAAAGAAAAAAATAATCTCGGACAAAAATGACTGAAGTTGGGGTCGGGACTCCACCAGGGGCCACAAATATGTAAGTGTGAGGTGTTGACAGAATAAACTGAATACCAAAAATGGCAACGATAAAGCATATGAACGTTATAAAACAATAGGGTTTAAAGAAGAAGAACCAGGACTTGAATAGATAAAAGCAAAAGATCGGCTCTTGTTAGTTTTTGCTGGTTTAATGTTTAAAGCTAGGAAATAATAGACATATTTCCAGTAAAGTTTATGTTTTACAAATTGGATTGTTACCTCTGGAAATTTGAGTCTGGAATATGAATAGGAATGAAAAATGTATGGGAACCATGTAGGCTGTTTATTTACACTTCTAATGGCTTTTTTCTTACTAAAGAGTGTTTATACAGTTTCATCTAGAAATGTCTAAAAACGTATTTTAATTGAAAGTGTTCAGGTTTTCATTATTATTGAATAAAGTATGGAAAAGTTTTCTATATGTACTTTATTTCCTCTTATTGTTAATTGCATTTCCAATATTAAGTCACTCAGACTATAATGTTTAAGCCGATTTTCTATAAAGGTTGGACAAAACTGCTATGAAGTCAGCCACCATATCCATACTTTTTACACTTCAGGCATAGCTCTGATGGGCATTTTAAGTTACTGTTGTCTAATAAAGCTACAATGGAGTATAAGTATAAAGTATAAAAATAAGTATAAAAAAGAAATGTAGAAATATCTACATTAATTTTACATATTTACAAGAAAAAAACTTGGATATTTTCTGTCGAATGGTCATAAATTTGCAACAAAAAAAAACCCTGATAATTTTCTATGACTAAAGAAAATTAGTCATAAAGGTTATTTAGAATTACCTCTGGATGTTTTCCAAAGTGTAAGTGGTACATGTGGGTTCTTTTCCTGTGACAGAACAACATCCAGCTTCTTCCTCAGTGTCTCAGGTGTGGACTTCAGATCTGCTGTGTAAAATATCCTTCCACAAATATCGATCTGCAAATAAATATACCTGTGGATTTATTTATTTTTTCTTTCCCCCTCTCATTTCTCGTCCAGATGGCTGTTTCCTTTCATTGGTCACATGGGAATCTGCACTTCCTCTGGAGTTATCCGGGACTTTGCTGGACCGTACTTTGTCTCGGTGAGTAATGAGTCAGGTGCTCTGAAACAAAGAAGAAACCGATATATTTGTTGTCGGCAAAGATGCACCAATCTGATATTAACTGTATCGACCCCGACATTGAAAAAAATTTCAGATCAAGTGTCGATAACAATGTGTCCGATCCATAAGGGCAGATCTACTCAGTCTAATTTTTATTTTTTATTTTACATTATATTTAGAATCCTAATTGCACTATTTGAAAGAAGGTTTGTTGTGTTTTTTTTTTTTTTCACGTTTGACCAAGTTAGTCAATCTTTTGACAGTTTCAGTTTCTTTATTTGTTTCACTTAGACTGTTATACTCCTAATTGCACTGACTGAACAAATAGGTGTACTATGTGTATTTAAGTGTGTTGTACTGTAGTATAATCCAAAATTTCTTCCATTTGCTAAATGCCTGAACATGTTTTTTGTAAAATCAGAAAAAAGGGTTAAGGATGAATAATGTTTCCGTTTTGCAGGAAGACAACATGGCTTTTGGGAGACCTACAAAGTAAGCATGTCCTTCAGCAATGTCTAACGCTTAATGGGAACGATGAAATCCAAACTCGCCTCTTTGGATCTGCAGGTACTGGATGCTCGACGCGAGTAAAGTCTACGCCAGTGGCTCCAACGCTTGGGACACGGCCGTGCACGACGCCTCAGAGGAGTACAAGCACAGGATGGTAACTAAAGGCTGCTTTTATGGTTCTAATCTAATTTACGGATCGCTGGGAGAAATCTAAAATGGTGAAATGTTTTTGTTTTTGTAAAGCACAACCTGTGCTGTGACAACTGTCACTCCCATGTGGCCATGGCTCTGAATCTGATGCGATACGAGAACAGCACCTCATGGAACATGGTGAACCTCTGCCTTCTCTCATTCATCCACGGAAAATATGTCGGGTAAGACAGAGGTCTTCCATCATCATCATCATCAATGCAGTATTTAAATTATAACAAACTTCTTCGATGCATTTTTGGTCAGATATTATATTTTCTGGATAAACATTTCCTGCAGTCAGTGGTCAAACTTGATGTGTTCGAGATGCTAAAGTTCAGAAAGACTGCTGAAGGAACGAATAAACGCATCAGAAAAACATGTATTAATCACAATCAATATTGTCATTGCGATGTACAGCAATTGAATCATAGCCTGAAATGTAACTAAATTAATTAAGAATTTCCGTCCTAACAGAAATTGATAGTTGATGGAACGAAAGGAATATGAGGACATCATCTGCGTATAAGGCGATTGTTAAACACTTAACATCCCTGTGCTGCCAAACGGGCTCCAGCACTAAGGCAAAGAGGGGTGGGCTGAGGGGACATCCTGGGGGGACACCTCTTGCAATTGGGAAGGGATCCGATTGGCGTCCATTTATTGGTGAATTATTCAATGTTTGAATCATTCTAAGGAAAACTGCCCCCAAATTAAATTTTCCCAGAACTGTGAACATGTCTCTGTTAGACAGTAGCATCTATAAATAAAGCCTGTCTGGTCAGGATTTAACAGTGTGGGTTGTAGTTTTAGCATCTGGCTAACAGTTTTGACAGAAACTTACTGTCAGCAGAGATCAAACTCATCGGTCGACAACTGAATCTTAATCACGTTTTTGGATGTTGTGCAGCCCCATTTACATGCATTAAACTGTAAACCAACACAAAGAAGTCTGTGGTAGTAGAGAAGAAAAAAAAATGGTGTGGTTTTCAAAATCTTTTCAAGAGAAAAATTCAGAAATTTACAACATATAGTCTGCTTTGTGTTAGCCTATCACAGCGGCGTTCAAAAAGCGCTTCTAAATTAATCTACCTCGTTCGTTTTATCCAAATAGTTTGTCGTTATCCACGTAAAAATAACAAACATGTCGATAAATTTCACTTGTGTGTTTCATTTTAAAGCATTGATATTTTCTGAGTACTTTGAGTTTGGTCATATTTATCTACTGTTTGGTCACATTGGTCTGTTAGAAACCAAACAAGATACAGAAAATTTTGTGGGCACAACTTGACAAAATGTGAAAAACTGAGAAGTAAAACTACTTCTTTCCTGAATCCATCAGGAAATTATGTCAGTTTTAATCTTATTAGGGAAAGTGACAGTATCTTAAAACACCAGAATCATTTTTTTTCCATCCAAGAAGCCCACAATGTCCAGCTGGCTTCTTTACAGCCAGCAGGAGAAAATAAACGCTGTTCCTCAGTGGGATCCCGAGAGTCCAGGCATGATTTCACTGGGTCTGAACCTGCTGGGTCCCACGATGCAAGGAAGGCGCCCTGATTCTAAGGATGCATAATGAGTTATATAGGGCAAACCTCAGGAAGAAACTGCTACACCTCTAGTAGAGTTCTGTTTTTTTTTTTTTTTTTTTTTTAAAACTACATTTCATAGCAACTTTTACATACAGCAGCAACCTGAACAACTGAGCAGCAAAACTGTTTTTACTGCATATAATATAGATGGAAGATCTAAAAAATAGCATGAAGTGCCTTATTTAAGGAACGACCAATCAGAATGCATGACAACATAATCAAAAAATGGTTTTCTGTTAATTCAACCTCGTTTCATGTTTTGAGTCAAAAGGTTATGTTTTGTTTTTGATTTTTAGGTAAAATGCCTAACTTTACTTCCAAAATTCCAGATTGTAATCGACTGTAGAGGACCTCTGGAAACTTTTTCATTAATATCGTTAAAATTATAGCAGCACAAACTCAATTTTTTTTTTTTTTACTGCACAAACTTACCACAAACATTTGACAGCAATTTTGTTAGATTTGGTGATGGTGAGGGGGTGCTGGCTGACCTTTTGACCTTTAAGCTTTCATTCTTCAAAGCAAAAGCGGCACAAACTAAATTTTTTTGCTGCACAAGCGTAGTCGAGTTGATCGACACAATTTCTCTCTGATTGGAAGAAGGTGGAGGGGCTGGTTGACCTTTCATGACCTCTGGAAACATCTATTAGTATTTTTAAAGTGACAGCAGCACAAACGAAAAATTTAGCTGCACAAATGTTTGACACCAATTTTGTCAGATGTGGGTAATATGCGGGTGGGAGCTGGTTGACCTTTAAACTTTGATTAATGTCTTCAAAGTAAAGCAATATAAATCAAAATTTTTGCTGCACAAATGAAGCACAAACATTTGACATCAGTTTCTTTAGATTTGAAGAAGGCAGGGGGGACAACTTCACTCAGGTTACAGCGGTTGGTTTCATGATATCGACTCGTTACCATGTTAACATGAGAATTGAAATGAAAGCGCAGCGTGTGTCCATCAATCCTGGAAGCTTATCATCCCTCTGCGATGTTTACTCTGTTTGATCTTTCTGCAGCAGCATAAACTCGGCTGTCCTCAGCTTGTTCTCTGTGCTCTGTCCAGCTGCGCGGGCGTTCTGAAGACCTGGCTGCCGTTCTTGTTGCTCGTGGGCATCGTCCTCACAGTTGCTCTCGTCGTCAACATCCGATGACCGGGGCAGGGGGCCGGGCAGGGGGCCTGGCGAGGCGGCGGACACGGCGTGCGACATCCACACGATCCGCCCCGCCCTCCATACTGCGGCGCCACGACCAAACACGAACCACCTTTTGAAGAACGGCGTCGCCGCGTCGAGCTACAGTAACCGAGGACCTAAAGCCTGCCTACCTCTGGGAGAGGACTTCCACACAGGAAACGTCTTTATTTTATTTTTCTCACTGCAGTGCCGAAGCTGTAATACCTCAACGATTGATATCCATTCACACATATGCATTTTTATGAATTCCAGCTATTGTACATTCGACAATAACAGCTTCACACTAATTGTAAAGAAGTTCTGGTGTAGTAGAGTTCATGCCTTGCTTTCAGACTGATGGGGTTGTTTACCTGATATCTTCAGTGCTTCCAGAAAGCCATTTTTATACGTGGAGCACAAACGTCATTAGCTGCCTTATCGCGACTTTCTAGCATTTCATACTTGATCTAATGTAGCTCTTCCACAGCAACATGAGCGTATTTTCCTATCTGTATACGACACACTGAGCAAGTCGGCATCTTCTGAGAGATATTTTCTTAAAGATTCCTTGAACACGTCTAACCTCACAGTGCTGTTAGCAACAGCTCATCACTGCGACGATTGTAGCAACCTTGGTGAATGTGTCTGTGATAGATGTCTCTGGGCTGACCCTCCACAAACCCACTCAGATGTTTTCTTTCTGCTCATTACTGATTTTTCACACAGAAATCAGAGTCAGTGCCTGATTCATGACCGGTATCGCAGATCTCTTCCACGTTGTGGCATTTTCAGCATTCTGCATTTTTTTTTTCCCCCCTATTAAATGTTAGGTCTTCATGACAGTTGGCACTACAAATCCGTTGCCATGGCTGTTGGGGTAGAGGGGGCAGACTCAAATCATGTCATTGTTTGCAAACGGAGACAAAGGAGCGTGGAGCTCTCTCTCCCTCTCTCCCAGCAGCAGCAGCAGGTAGCCAGGATTCTCAGGTTTTTCACACTCGCCAACCATCGCTCAGTGTTTCAGCGAGCGCCGCCACTTCCTGCTGCTTTACCGGCTCAGCAGTTCAGAGCTGAAAGTCTTTGGGAAATATCAGGACCACCTTTTTAAAGTTTAAATTCAACCCGACCAACATCCTGTAAGGTCGAGACAGACGATGAGACAGTACTTGTTTCTAAACATCATCTGGCTCACAGGGCCTTGATTCATATGACGGAGTATTAGGGCCAGAATACGCAATATGTTTTTTCTTAACATTTTGACAATGAAGTCATATTAGTAGAATAAAGATGCAATATTATCAGAAGGAAGTCTTAAAATGACAATTGTTTCAAAGTCCTGCTCCTGATGATATTTTAATGCTGATGTGTTCAGACTTTGTCTTCTTTGTAAATCCAAATCCAAAGTATGACTTCACAAGATGCCCAGCGTTGCTCATTTTATTAATTTTTAAATTATTTTTTCCTGTAGGAGTTATCATAACATTACTACTTCATTCTAATATTATAATTTTATTCAGATTATGAGTTTATTCTCGTATCGTTTTGACTTTGTCATACGAGATTTGTCTAATACTACGATTTCTTTTCTTTGTATTATTGCAACTTCTGCCTTTTTGTCATTTTTTTATTCCCATATCCTGCGACAGACTGGCGACCTGTCCAGGATGACCCCACCTCTCGCCCAGAATGTTAGCTGGAGTTAGGCACCAGCACCTCCTGACCTCACTAAGGGACAAGGGTGTTAGAAAATGGATGGATGGATATTCCCATATCACTCTGGTTTGATTGTCATGACTTTTCTTCTCGTTACGACTTTTGTCTCGTATAAATTTAGACGTTATTCTCACTTTATTCTGGTAATATGCAAATACATTTTTGTGCTACTCCACCTTTTTTTCATATTGCGACCATATTCTCGTAATATTCTGAATTTGTGTTATTGCAACTTTGTTCTTACATTACTCCGACTTGCTGCCGTATGTCTTTATTCTTGCAATATTGTGACTTTGTTCTCATAATATGTGACTTTTTCTCATAATTAGCTTTTTTTCTGTGCCTGGCCCTAACACTCCGTCCTACATTCAAGTGTACAATTTGCCTCTCTTGCCTGTAAATATTTGACTCCCCATTTTAATGGGCATTTTGTAAAAACATGACCTTGACTTTTTAAATCTTAGTCATTTACACTAAAATTGTACTTTGTATTCCATGTTTGTGTTTATCATCTGCTGACGGTTGCAGCAGAGCCGTGCCTAAAACAGACTGTGTGCTACTTTTTACATATTTTATTGGGAAGAGCATGCACTTGCATGGCTGCATGTGTGTGTCGCATGCATGCAGGAAAAAGGTTTGAAATTGAAAGTCGTCTTTCATAATCGTCCCTGCCTCTTCAACCTTGTGAAAAGTATTCACACCTCTTGAACCTTCCCACAATCCAAGCAGGATCTGCAGTTGGCTTGTATGCAATAGACAACACTAGAGAGGAGGAACACGGTGATGGCAGCATAGTGCTGCGGTGAGTCTCACCATTTGGTCTATTCAAGGAGTCGGCCACCTTTACAAACCAAAGAACCATTTTTGCCCCCAGTCCAACTGAATGAAACTCGTTTATAGCCACAAATGTTATGGAATTAATTATTTACACAAAAAAGTTTACCACTCAATGATGAGGAAAAATTAAATATTACTGTTACTTCACTCATTCTGTCTGCAAAAAAGCCCCTAAAGTTCTCTATTTGCATTTATATATATGTACACTGCTCAAAAAAATAAAGGGAACACTCAAATACCACATCCTAGATCTGAATGAATGAAATATTCTCATTGAATACTTTGTTCTGTACAAAGTTGAATGTGCTGACAACAAAATCACACAAAAATCATCAATGGAAATCAAATTTATTAACCAATGGAGGCCTGGATTTGGAACCACACACAAAATTAAAGTGAAATGTTCCCTTTATTTTTTTGAGCAATATATATATATATATATATATATATATATATATAATTTTTTTTAAGTGGTGTTTTTGTGTTTGTTTTTTTCCACTTTTTCAGCCAAATTGAGAGAAATTGTGGAAGGTTCAAAAAGCCACAGGTTGCAGACCCTCTGCTCTATGGAATAACATCCTGTTAAACTCAGTCTTTTCTGATTTTTAATGTGGAAAAAAATGTGGAAAATGTTCAAGGTGTGTAAATACTTTTGTAGTGCTTTTAATTTAGTGCTGTATATTTCTCTGTTTCTTGCGGGTATGGAATAGCTAATTATCTTTAATCAGAGTTGATGACAAATTTGAGTTAATCATCTGCACTTAAGTGGAGACAGCAGTAATGTTTCATCATCTGCAGCTGCAGACCGTCTCTATTAGTGCTGCTTAGATCAAAGCAGAAAAACGCAGAAAAACACAGAAAAAGACGCACTGTTGTAGAGTCCAAGTAATCAATTTCAGGATAAAAAAGAAAAACGCGTTTGCCTCTCTTGCATTTATTATGTTGCTTTAGGGCTGGGCAGTAAGTTGATTTGATCAATTTGATTGAATTTTCTGGTTTTGAAGATGTAATTTTTGGAAAATCCTTTTTTCTCCCTGGACTTCCATAGTTCAGAGTGATGATTTTGACAAACATGTTTTATAGCTAATGTTTGTTTCGACATTGAATTAAATAACAAAAGCCAGTTGGTTTATTTTAGATCTTTTCAAGATATCTTCTGTCATTTCTTTCTTTTTATATGTATGTGATTTAAAAAAAACAAAAACAAAGGAGAAAAAATAAAAATCGGAAATCGAGTTGAGTTTTGGATAAAAAAATAAAATCATGTTTTATTTTTTAATCATATCACCCAACCCTACGTTGATTAACAAGATCATTTGCAGTTAAGAATCTTTCCCAATATTTTTCGGACACTCCTATGTTCTGAGACATCTTGCTTTCAGGGTCGGGTCGATTTGGGAAACATTATTGAAAGAAAGGTCACCTTTTTAAAATATCTAGCACTTTTCATTTATGCTTAAGTCAAAATGTGGTTTCTTGTTTCCATTAGCTGGATTAGAAAAGATGCTCATTCGTTGCTATTAGAGGAAATAAATATCCAGCTCTTTTGAGATCGCCTTATAATAACTGCCTGTCATATAGGAGCTTACTTGTGCATAAAACAGAGGAGAGGTGGCTTCTTTGTAGGAAGTCCTGCACAGGAATGCAGTACTGTGTGGAGATCATTGAAGCGGTCTTAGGTGTTGCCTGCTGTGGTGCCTTTCCGTATCCAGGAGCCAGGTCCAGGAATGTGGGGACCTGCTGTCCCGCCGTTCCAGTCTGCGGACAAAAGACAGTCGGGATGGCGTTACTAGTGCCGCCATTCACTTGTTACACACTTAACACGAGTCTATTGACTCAAACTCTTGTGTTGTTCCGATTCTCCAGATATCTTTCTTGCTGCTGAGAATTCTCCAAAATTCAGAAAGTGACTGTGTGAACAGCTGTAACACCAATAAAGATGTCTATTATTCTAGCAATGTGTGGGCCTTTTCTTTTTTTTCCTCCCCTCCTTTTGGGTTTCCATCATTGAATTATGAGCGCTGTGTTTCATCAGGGCTGTCAGCTTGAAGGTTGACAACTTCTCTTCCTCCTCTTCGAGTTTCTATTTATACGCTCAGGAGTGATTCCCATCAAAAATGGTTAGAAGCTGTCAGAATACACATCGACCATGAGGACGTATTCGTCCCTTTGTAAGTGGCCAACAGTCCCGTTCAGAGGAGATTATCCTGCATATTGGGCCAGACTTTGGAAAGTTTTATTTAAAAAAGTTACATTTCTTAGATATTTGTTAAAGTTCTGTTGTGACAGTATAAGACAGATAATCTGTGGGATGAAAGAACTCCTGATTCTCCTAGTACCAACTACAGAAATACACCACTCAGTCAGAAACGGCCAATCAGAGCCGGGAGGAGGTCCTTAGCGCTGTCAGTCACTCTCATGCTCAACCCATCCCACTTGCTCTTTCCTGAACTACAGCTGATTCACCACAGCATAGCCTGCCATGAATGCTAATGCTAGTTAGCATAGCTAACAATGACTGCGAGTAAATGGTTTTTCTTTAATGGTAAATTGTTTTTACACCACTAGTACACCAAGCAGCAAACGCAGGAGGATGATTGATAGCATTAAGACCCTCCTCCTGCTCTGATTGGTTCTTTTTGACCAGAAGCTGTGAATTAGTAATGGTAGAAATAGTAGCTTGATTTTTTAAAATCAGTTTATCTCATACCATATTGTCACAACATGGTGACAGTTTTAAATAGGGGAAAAACATTTTTGTAAAAATTACACACTGCAGCTTTAAAAGGGAAATATCCCAGGGCCACAATTTTAAGGGGGCACCAAAGATGTTTTTTCTTCTTTTTTAAAATGAATACATGTTTTGCATCACTTTTGATATAAATCTCAAAGGTCCATATCAGGTGAACTGTATTAATATTTATGGGACTACTTAAGTATGAAGTTATAGTAATTATTTGAAGGACAACATGGAGCCACTTCTTAGCAGATGTAATAAATATACCATACATTAATTCATACCCACTTATCTGCAGAACTATTGTTCTATTGGAATTTGTATTAGAAGGAGAATCTTTCTGTCGTGGAAAAGACACCAAATCTCTTGGTGGATGTGGGGCCCTGAGCCCAGGGCCCCACATCCTTGGAAATCCGGCCCTGACTATAATGCAAATTTTATGATAAATGTATGTCCACATTTAAAAATCCAGATTTAGGCTCGGGTAGTCATACTGTTGGCCTAATGTAACAGTGCCGGACCACGCGTTAGGTTCTGGGGGAAATTTAAATGAGACAACCGGAACCCTGGCATCTCCAGCCCCTCTCCTTCCTTGTGGATCTGGTCAGGCGGGAGAGAGAGAAGCCCCTCCCCGCAGATCATCATCGCACCAGTCGATGGTCCTTTTAACTGTATTGTTGGGGGAAGAAGCGACGCCCCGCTCTGAGGATCAAACGGCCTCCCCTCCCCTGTGATCGGCACGACCCCCAGTTCTGTTTTCATGGAAATCAGACCCAGCCTCCGGACCGCACTTTCTGCAGACATGCGAAGTTGAAGGCGCATTCCCAGCCGGGACAACTGAACTCGCGATGTTGGCGTGTCGGAGAAGCTGATTCTTTCATCCTGTTCCCCTCCTCCTTTGCCCCCAGTAATCTATTTTCCTCCTGATTTCGTCTTGTTCGCTCCCGTTACTTTTTGACTTCACTCCAACATGCTGCACCTGACGAGCCGCTTTGTTTTCTGCGCGCTCCTCGCCTCCGTTTACGCGTCGTGCCCTCCGCGCTGCGAGTGCTCGGAAGCGGCGCAAACCGTCAAGTGCGTCTCCAAAGACCTGAGGAGTATCCCGACCGGGATCCCGGGATACACAAGGAATCTGTTTATAACTGGGAATCAGATCAGCCGAATCGGTCCGGGGTCTTTCAGAGGTCTGGATAACGTGACCAACCTCTCCCTGAGCAACAACAGGTAAGATACTGCTATAAAAACCACCGATCCAATGCAAATGGCTGAACGTTCTTACATACATAACTTTTAAGTTGGCATTATGAGTTGAATTAGTCTGTGTTGTCATACATTTGAGATTAGAAAAGGCTGTGGGCCATTTAGTCTAATCTGTCTATATGACTGGATTGTATCACATAAATCTGGATTGTGTATTTCTGCATAACTGAACATGTAATTGGCTTTTAAAGTGCCTCAAGATAACATTTGCTGTCAATTAGAACAATATGCAAACATTTTATTGAACTGAGCAAGTAATCCAAGGTAGTGGATTATCATTTTTCTCTGTGGCATTAGAACACTCGACTCTTCATAAGATGAAGAGTCAAGAGTGTTGAATCCATGACTCAGGGTACTTCTTTGTGTAAAGACATACTTTCATCCAGACTTCCTCTGGAACTGTGCTTTGAAGTTTGACCTGTACGTCATGCTTTTCTTCCGACCCAGAATTTTAGAGATGGAATTCCACACCTTCTCCGGACTTCTCCGCCTTCGCTCTCTGGATCTGAGCAACAACCAGCTGACCGTCATTCACCCCGAAGCCTTCAGCAACATCAGCCAGTCGCTGCGAGAGCTCAACCTCAGCCGAGCCCTCTACAACTACTCGTTCGTGATGGACCTGGCCGCCTCCCTCCAGAGGATCTCCATGGCGAACCTACAGGTCCTGGACTTGTCTGACAACAGCCTCATCTACCTGCCCTCGCACACCTTCTCCCGCATGTACGGCCTGCGCCGGCTCCAGCTCTCCAACAACTCTCTGGTGGCCATCCGCAGCCTCGCCCTCTCAGGTCTGGAGAGCCTGGAGGAGCTTGACCTCACACTCAATGCCCTCAAGACCTTCACCGACGAAGGCTTGCAAGAGTTGGACTCCCTTCCCCGAGCGTCTCTGCTTCTGGGGAAGAACCCGTTCACATGCACCTGCGGCATTGAACCCTTTGCGCAATGGCTCAACAGATCCCAGGATCGCGTCAGGGATGCTGAGGGCCTCCTGTGCGCCTTCCCTCCCAGCATGAGGAACACATCCATTCTCACAGTGGGTATGCTGACTCTGGAATGCCAGCAGAGAGACGTGGGGGCAGATCTCGCTTTGCAGACCTCTTATGTCTTCTTGGGAATCGTTCTGGGCTTCATAGGCCTCATTTTCCTCTTTGTACTTTACCTCAACCGCAAGGGAATCAAGAAGCGTGTATATGACATGCGGGACGCCTGCAGGGAGGTCTGGGAGGGCTACCACTACCGCTTCGAGATAGACTCCGACCCCAGGTTATCACAAGTCTCCACAAGCGCTGACGCATGAGAGGACGATCGCTGCGCTGCATCCGCAAGAAACTCTTTCTCCTAATTCGTTTATCAGTTGCAGAATGTAAAAAAAAAAAAAAAAAAATTATGTACAGACGTGCCTGTAAATATATCTTAAACAACAACACCTTGATTGAAGCATGCACTCAGTCAAATGGAGATGTTTGACACTTTCAAGAAGCAAAAGTAAGTGCCTGAAGTGAGCTCAGTATTGTTTTTTTAAATTTGTGAATCAAACAGATCTCATGGAAAAGGAAGGGAAGTGGGAGGCGGGAGTAACAGAACTGCAATAAAATTCAGACACTATGAAAACAAACCTTTGGGAATTTAAAGCACAATCACTCATTCATCTTTGATCCCTTTGAAGCCCTTTGGTCCCTCCGGCCTCTTACCCCAGGGTGCCAGAGAGGAATTAAGCCACCCAAAGCTTTTTCTCCCCCCACCCCCCAAAGCTCCTCTTAAAATCACCACTTTGCCCCTCTTTGGCTGTTGGATTAGAAGTGGAGAAGACAATTCAGCACAGGCCAGCGGAAATCTCCCTGCCCCTTCCCTCCCTCCCTCTTTCTCTTTTTCGTGAAACTTTGCTTTGTTTCAACTCCTTGAGTTTTATTGTCAAAATGATGAGAACCAGCCCCGAGCTGAAGCCGCTGAAAGTAACCCCCCCCACTCCTCTTTCTTCCCCTCCTCCTTAAAGACAACAGCCCTCGCTCTGGAGGCGCTTTGAAGGAAAAAAAGAAGAAGAAGAAAAAAAGGTCTGGCTCTCCACGTTTTTCTGTTTAAGGGGCTTTTCCTCCCTGCAATGATAAGATACAGATGATTCTGAAACACCAGCCACATTGTTTCATTCACGAGGTCTTTTCAAGCGGCTTGGTGAAGACGGAGGTATATGTGCTTTAAAGGGTTAGTTTAGATTTCCTAAAAAGCGAGGTTCTATGAAGTTGTTGTCAGTGACAACGTTCTTACCTATCATAGCAAAGATGTCATATTGCAGCCAGTTTGGAGAGAAGAAACAAAATCGCCAGAGCGGCGGAACGCTAACAGCTGGTCAAATGGATCAACAAAGTCAGGGCTTCACAAGCTTCAATGTGGAACCATAGAGTATTACGGGGGGTTTTCTTCTTTTTGAAGCTGTGTTACAAGCAGAGAGCATCTTAACAACAGTAAGCAGCACTCAGAAGGCTTTTCTGTCTGGACAATCAAGAAAAAATGATCATAATATGGTAACGCTAACAGGTAAAAAAAAAAAAAAATCCCATATTGTATTACTTGAATGCTATTTATTCAAGTAATGGATTATATCATTTGTGTATGATGTCACATTCAAGTTGGAGCTCTGGAAAACCTGTTTATCACTTCTCTTCAGAAAAAAACATGTAGATAAAATTAAAATATTACTTTAAACCTGCAGTATGCACATTTAAAAATATATATGTTTTTTATATATATGCTAAAACTGTAACCATGTTGTGTTTGTGTAATAATATGAGAGATAATCTGAGAAAAGATCGATGTGACCTCTATTGCAATATGAAGAAATTTACTTTTCTCAGTCAAAAAGAACCAATCAGAACCAGCCTTAGCGCCGTCAATCATCCTCACGTACTTGCTGCTCAATGTGCTAATGGCGGAGAAACAACTTACCGCAACATGAAGTGGCCATGCTAACTAGCCTTAGCATTCTCTACAGGTTCTGTTAACAGGAAGAAGCTGCATGGTAGCAGAGAGAAAGGAAGGGAGGGAATCAGAGAATGAGCAGCGCCACACTAAGGGTGATTGACAGCGCTAAGTCCCGCCTCCTGGCTCTGATTGATTGTTTCTAGTTAGCAGTTGGAGAAGGCGGAGAAGCTTGATTTTTCACAGATTGTCTGTCTCATAGCATACTGTCACAACATGGTGACAGTTTTAACAAATATCTCACAAAATGAACAATATCCTACCACATACTGCATCTAAGGAGTCTTTTTACTGCGATAATAATTACTTGTATTTACGTCACTGGCTGCTTCAACTGTGACAACATCGCTGGATCTTTATTATGGGCTAACACAGCTTTGTGTTCTACAGATTCCTGGCTAGCTGTTAGCCCATATTAGTCTCCTGTGACTTTTATTCCCTTTTCTACTTGCTGCAATATGACATTTTTTCTGCTACATGTAACTACAGGAACTACCAGTAAAAAGCACATTTTAAAAATCAGAACCCAAGGAATTTTCTCTGCTACCATTGCCTTTTACCACTGGAGCAATGTTAACTGTGTATATCCTATTTGTACTTGGTGATCAGATTTTTCCAGTTTCCAGTGGGAAATCTATGGAGAACCCAACCTAAAGTCGGAATTCCAACGAAAAAAGTCCAGGTTTAGTACTAAGGATGGTTGCTGAGTAAGAAAAAAACAGTCCTAAATGTGGCAGATATGAACTTTTTATGAAAACCTCTGGTGTTAGGAACTTCATTAAACCAGTGGGGCTCATAGCTTTGTACATTATTTATTTGTAAACATGCTATTTTAAGAGCTTGAATGGACATTATTGTGTTATCTTGTGTTTGTTAAAGTGCCATGACATTGTGTCCTGTATTGCCATGTATGTTAGCACATTAAAAAACATTGTTAGGCAGATTTAAGCATCAGAACATGAAGTGGATTTTGTGAAAATTCAAAGGATGTCATATGTTTGAAGTATGGCTGCACCCCTGGCCATGAATAGTGGATGAGAACTGGGATGAAGGGTGTGGATTTTACAGTGGTCAATTGTGGTCAGATAATTGGTCATGCTTTCAGTTTCATTTTCACTTGCAGTCATCCCAAAAAGAAGGAATCTTTATCAGCACAAAGTTTGTATAATGTAGCATAAAGATTAAAGAATGTATTTGTTTGGTCCTTTCAGACATATGTTAGCATTTGTGTTAATGCTAAATCGGTGTGTATTATTGTAGGATTCATGGTGCAGATTGTAAGATGTCAAAAAATCCGATGCTAGCCAGCTCAGCCGTCAATTAAACTGGAACTGCATTTCCATTACAAATGTGCGCAAAAAAATTGTCGATATTCCGCTGATGTTGAAAAAACACAATTTAGCCATGTTTCATGTTTCCTTCAAATAAGAAACAGTTAAAATCACAGGTGAAAATGTTTGTACTCGCGATAAGACATTAAAAAAATCAGCATGCTCCCCCAACTACTGCTGCTCCTGGGGCAACCTCTGCTTGTTGATCACGTGACTATCGTGATGTGAAAAAAGTGTTTCTGTTGCAGTTTTGCGAAATAAACCAATTTCGCTCATCGTAGCAAAGTTTTGCCATGTTTCATTTGAGCAAATTTATTTTAGAAATGGCAAACTGCACAGTTATATAATCAGTGGAAATCCTGATTATGTAAATTACATAGCTGTTATGTAAGTTAGTTTACCTGAGGCAGTGTACCTTCCTTCAGAAATACGAAGAAAGTGTGCAATATTAATATGGGAGGATCACAATTAGCACCACAGCCATTAGCAGTTCCTACTGATTTGGACTTCCAATTGGAGCAGCTGCACTTTGACTTCCGAAACAAATCAGACGCAGCCTAAGCAACCTGTGTGATTATTTTTACCCAACTCCTTTAGCCACACTGAAACCTAAACGTCCCAAATGGGATGCACATGTTCAAACTGAAGCAGAGAATGAATTCCAGACGGTGTCATGTGTGTCATCCTTGTTTTTCCAAATGACAAAAGCAATTCTCTGTGGCCTTTTGATGCTCCCAACTCAGACCAGAAGAAGAAATGGCGAGCTGCCATTCCTCAATGTGTTTATTGTCCAAATTGCTAGCTATCAAGGTATTTAGAATAGACAGAGACAGAAAGAGAAAGAAAGAGAGAAAGAGAGAGAGAGAGAGAGAGAGAGAGAGAGAGGAGGCCTGAAATTAAGTAAAACAGCCTCCCTTTGTTCGAAGCCAGAACAGCATCTTCATCCTATCAATATGTCCAAACCTCTCCGGCGGCGATCCCAAACTGTTTACGCCACGGAGCCTTTTTAGTGGATGTGGAATGGCAAAAAAAAAAACACGAGGATCTCTTGATGTCTGTGCATACTCATTTAGCCCAAATGTAATCTTGTGTGTTTAGAAACCCAACACAAATGAATGTAATCTTAATGCTCGGGACCGAGGTCGGCGTATCATTTCCCCCGAGCCGCAGCGCCACATTAAGCCGGACATTTAGTCACCGAAGGAGAAAACAATTGAGCTCCGCGGGCCGACACAAAGGGCCAGCTCGGATGGCGAGACGGTTCAAAGAAGCTTTGTTTTCCAGCGCAAAAACAAAAAAAAAGAAGAGAAGAAAAGGATGCCTTATGATACTCATCGTCTCCGAATCCGCAGTGCAACAGGATTCATTCATGATGACAGAGTTAAGCGCTCTGATCCGGCTATTGTTAAACTCGCATCATTCTTAATAATTGCATTTGGAAGGAAAATCCCAAGAGTAGCTTTCATTGGCCTGTTCCACGACAAGTCACACCCACGACGTTAAGCCGACTGCGGGTCATTGGTGTCAATTTGCGGAGCAGAAAGACGAAAAATGTTCCCTGCATGTCATTACTTCCCTTTTTTACTCATTAAAGTGTGTATTAAAACCATGCCTTTTCTTGTGTTTTTATGAGTGGGGCTGCTGGAGGGGGGATATATGGGCTGTTTGCTATAGGCTGCCTCTGTGAGGAAACAATGAAATACAAGCAGACACTCCATTACTCCCTGTGCAAAAAATATGCTTGTTAAAAGCAAAAGCAATTCCTTGAACAACCCTCCACCATTAGGCTGCTTGTTGCTCATTGTTTGAGTGAAAGATTTTGTCTTTATCTCGGCTTTTTCTCTCTCTCTTTCGCTGCGAGCCATTTGTTCGGCCGAGGGTTCGTCCCAGGAAGCAGTTTTAAAAACTCCTAACAGCTTGATGTCGCTGTGTTTGTGTGCAACATGTGGTTTTGTGCAAAGCACACACACAGAGAACGTGTGTCTTTTCCCAGCTTCGCTCTGCAGCACAGCAGGCTTTTGATTTTATGTGCCTCCCCGTCTCTGGGAACATCTTGGCGCCATTACACGGGTTTAATGGCTAAGATAGGAAATATGACTTAAAAGTCAGCGCCACATCTGCGAGGAATTGTACATGTTAAAAGGAGACCGCAACAGTCAGCGGCATGACGACAGAGACAAAGTGGCATAAACCCCCCTCCCCTCCGCCTGCCTCCCCCACCGCTGACAGTTTATGACAAATACAGCTGTCTCTGCCTCCAGCTAACGACTCATGTCATCATTCACATCTGCTATTGCTTCCTTTAATTTAGTGATAAAACTCAAACTGTACTCACTGCAAACCCTTCAATCTTAGCTTCCCTTATTTACATAGTAATCCTAGAGGTAATGTGTGTGCCATTCTTTATCCTTGATTGTTTTTTCCCCACACACATTTTGTCAAACATAAACCTGGATAAACATCAGAAAATTAAGTGAATTTTGTGAGAATTCAAGGGATGTCATGTCTTTGATGTCAGTGTTTTGCTATGGATGCACCTCTAGCCTTGAATAGTGGATGTGTGTTGGGATCAAAGGTGTGGATTTTACATGCTGTTAGTTTCACTTTCAGATACCTGGCAACCCAAAAAGGTGGGATCTTCACATAAAACTCCATGTATTTTATAGGGATTCTAATTGGCAGACATACAAGGTAGTGCCCAATTGTGAACCGGAAAGAAAATAATAAATTATTTTCAACAGAATTTAAAAAATAAACATATAGAGGGCATATAAATATTCTCTCCCCTGAAGCAGTATCAGTATGAAACCGGCAAGGAAACACAAGCACAACATTGGGTTGAGCGAGGAAGCAATGGGTGCAGACGAAAGGAACTGGCAAGGAGTGAACGAGAATGAAGTGCTTAAATACTGGGCAGGTTGAATGCTGAACGAGAGACCTGAGCTGATGAACTAATGGGTAGCAGGTGTGAGTGGGGGGAGCAGGAAGCAGACTGAGGAGAGGTAGAGAGAAGAAAAATCCTACTTGGTTTTCAAATGCTGTTACAGACATACGTTTGCTAAATGTGGTGTCCAGGTGCATATTTTTGTAGAATCACTTTTCTAAGTAATTGTTGTTTCAGGGTGAAGTGAAAGAATGATACAAACAATTTTATCAAAATCTACACATTCTTTGAGCTAAACCATTCCATTTTAGCTCAGGCTACATGTTCAGGCTACTTTCTGCCACCACCTCTCATCTGACCAGAACACTTTCGTCTTTGTCCCCTACATGTCCTGTAACAAACTGCAAACAGGAGAGAATTCTTGTATTTACTTTTGTTTCCCTTTTACTAATGGATTTCTTCTTGCCAGCCTTTGAAAATGTCCAGATTTGTGGAGTGCACCACCCTTTTAGTTGCTATATCGACAGATTGCAGCTCCACCAGACTTACCAAGGGTCACTTGGCTGCTTCTCTGATTAATGCTGTCCTTGCTCTGCCTGTCAGTTTAGGTGGATTTGTTATTGCTTTACAACCTAACCCTGTAATAAATGTCCACCCCCGAACTGTCCACTGTGCTCCTTGGTCTTCGTGATACTGTTTAAAGACAACTGGTGTCCCATTCTCAACAAATTGGTTCAACTGATTGGTCTGAAGACAACAGGTTTTAATTAACAGTACCAACATAAAGAGGAACAAATGCAAACACACATATGTGCCACACCACCATATTTAGCTTTTGATTTTGAATAATTTTGGAAAGCATTTACCATTTTTCTTCCACTTCATCCCTTTCTGTTCTCAAAGAAATCCATCGAGTTATGGCTGTAATGTCCAGAAAAAGGTGTGAGTACTTTTGCGAAGCACTG